GATGACTGCATTCAGGTACCTGCCAGTTTGCCGCAGGGAAGAGAAATCAGATTTGGCCTGGTCTGTCCGGCCCCAGAGGGCAGAATCAGGAGCCTGGGGGAGAGGTGGGCATGGCAAAGAAGCCAGCTTGGGACTGTAGCTCCTCACAACAGGAGCTGTGCCAAAGTGGAGCGGACCATCCATTGTCTAAGGAGGGTATCCAAAGAGAGGCTGGATGACACCTGTTGGCACATCACGGTGGACAACTGCGGGCATTAGCCCTGACTTTAATCCTCACTCTCGGACTCCCACTCTAACCCTCTGTGCACAGGTCAGACTACAGGGTCCTTTTCCAGCCTCCGTTTTGGTGCTTCCCAGGCCTCCTGGTCTCTGAATGCTTCCTTGTCCACACATCTCCACCAGATGTTGCTGGGCTGGATGCTGGTCTCGGGGACTTGCAGGCAATGGTTACTTCCCCACTAACTACACTAAAGTTCTGGGACTCAGGCTTCCTGGTTTTCAAACCCTAAGTCTTGCCCTGGATGTGTGCTGTAACAAAAATGCTGAAAAGACAAATCACTTTGCAAGATTGAAGACCTCTGATCACTGCAATGACCAGCAGCAATTCCAGGGGCCTAGTTACAAAGCATCCTGCTCACAGAGAGATGATGGACTCAGGAGCAGAACGAGACACACAGTTTTAGCTCACTCCCCTCTCCCACCTGCTGCTTGGCCGGGTGTCAGCTCCTGAACACGATGCTCCTCCCCAGGGTAAGCCCCTCACATTTAATTTCATTGCCATGCTGCTAAATAAAGCCTTTTCTGACTGCCTCCCTTAGCTTCTTCTCCCCTCTAATCAGAGGGTGGAGTACTAAACTTCTCCCACTGCCTTTCTTTACAGATTGCAGAAACGGGACTTTTGGGCTCTCTCCACTCTGCTTTTGCTGCTTTGCCTGTTTCCAAATTCATGGAAAACAATGTGTCTGACCTGGTTTCCCCCGGTGTCCCTGTTCACCACCCCATCTCCCCAGCTCTTTCCAGCCTCATTTTGTGTGGTTTTTCTCCATTAGATTGTGACCTCCCTGCAGACAGTGACTATCTCTTTATTGATTGTATCCCCAGTGCTTAGCACACTGGCTGACACACAGTAGGCACTTAATAAATTCTACTTTTACTACCTTACTTAATAAACAAAATAGTTTTAGGATATGGCTAGTGTAGGAATTTGTTTTGCTCGACTATGTAGATTTGTTTTCTTTTTCTTTATTTCTTTTAAATTTAAATTTATTTTTCTTCTTAATAAGGAGAGAAAATACCTGTTTTGTTCTTTGAAAAGTGAATGGGGTAATAGGTATACTACAGACTTAATGGGTCGGAGTTGGGATGGGAAGGATCTTAGCTGCATTCATGGCCTGAGAATCCTAGGACTGGGGTGATTCTTAAGCCAGTGAAAACACACATAATTCTACCAAAACGGAGATTATATAACCCAAAGGAAAAACAAGGAATTTTTTTTTCTAAACTTCCTTTAAAAGCTGAGAATGTGCTGCTCCTAGTTTCCATATCTTTCACAATTTGTGAATAGTTCACTCAGTGAACGAGCCACATGAAACCTACAGCCTCTGGACAAATGAACATAAACACACGTTGTTTGTTACCTGGGGACTCAACTGATTAACCCACCACTAAGACCTTCTCTGCAAGGGGGGAGGAGCAGTCTGCACCTCCACGGATCATGGGGATTTTAAGTTTTCACTCATGTTTCCCAGGCAAGGAAATATTTCTTGGTTTGGGTCTGGGTATGGGACTTGAGAAAGAGAGAAAAATTCCCAAGGGGAAGGAAGAGAGCCTGTCTGGGACAGTAGGTGCAGCAACCTCTTTAGAACTGCTGTCAGGCAGCTCCCGTTGCAGCCATTTCCCCTCCCCACGCCACACAGAGGGGAGGGAGGGAGGACTGATGCAATCCCTCTTATGGAAAAGTTGAAAGGCCTGCTTCCTGAAAGGCATGTAATGGGAATGCCCTGTGCCTGGAGTTGAAGCGTGCACAGATGTTCTGTATTCGGTTCTAGTCTGTTAACCACACCATGAGGAGAGACTATGGCTGTGTAGCCAACATTGCAGTGTTCAAAAGGCACTGGTCAGCCAGGGCCTTAATCCCCTTCGCTCTGTGGATGACAGAGGGAAACATGCAAAGTCAGGGACCTCAAAAGCCCTCTGATCAAAGGCCAATGTGTGGCCCATGAATTTGGACCTCTCTTGACCTTGTTTTATTCTCCTGTTTCAGGCGGAGTGTTAGAAAACAGAAAGTGCCTGGAATCTGGGCCCTGGAGCTCATGAAGAGGGACATTCCAAGTGACGTGTTGGCCTAGCATCAGCACAAGGGAGGGAGTCCCTGCCATCACTGACGCCACATTCAGAAATCACTTTGGGATGAATGTCCTTAGCAGTCACATAACCCAAGGGACCAACACAGTGTCCTCAGGTTTAGGGAGGAAATGTGTGGAGTTTCCTTCTTGCTTTGTCTGCAGTAAATATCCCTGTGCAAAAGCAAACTGATGTTAAACGGAAGAAATGGAATTGGAGTACTAATCGCTGGCAGACAGCCAAGCAAGATAGGGTCAGTCTCGTTGGGACCCAAGCGAAGGACTCGTTCTGTCTCTCCAGAAAGGGAGTAGCCCTGGCGCCTCGACAACTGCGGAGGCCATTCCTCTTACTAAGCCCCAAGGAGCTCCCAAGTCTGGGTCTAGGTGTGTAAGATGCCCTGCCGTCCACCCCTACTTACTGGCAGATAGTTCTTGAATCTCATATGTCCTCTTGTAAATAAACACCTTTTTGAAAAAGATTCAACTGAACCTGGAAGGGATGCTGGCAGAAGGGAAAGGGGCATTACCGAGTGGAGCCAGATAACCCCATTCTCCAGATGTTATCACACCGCAGCAGCGGCAACTGACTGAAGCCCGTCAAAATGGGTTAGGGGGCCATGTCGGTTAATGAAGATTAAGCGCCTACGTGCCAGGCACTGTTAAGCACTGGGGATGTCTCCGTCCTCAGTACAGTTCACAATCCAATGGGAGAGACAATATGCATATAACTATGTACACATAGGCTATACACAGGATAAATAGGAAATAATTAACAAAGGGAAGGCATAGAATTGAGAGATTAAGAAAGGCTTCTGGGAGGTAATGAGACTTTTGTGATGACATGAGAGAAGCCAAGAGGTGGAAATGAAGAGGAAGAATGTTCCAGGTATGGGAACGGCTAAGAAAAAAATGCCTGGAGTTGGGAGAGGGAGTATCTTAAGTTACAAAGGACTTTGTCACATGGACAGAGCTATAGCTTTAAAGATGTCTTATCTTTGGCTGATTAAAGCTATTTGGCTTTGGGAAAGGTGGTGAAAATATTTAGATGCAATTAATAAAGTTTTATATATATATAAATGTACGTCCACACATACACAGACACTCTTTTTGAGGCAATTGGGATTGACTTGCCCAGTCACACAGCTGGTGTCTGAAGTTGAATTCAAACTCAGGTCCTCCTGACTTTAGGGTGGGTGCTCTATCTCCCATGCCACCTGGCTGCCCTTCACAGATCATAATGTTTCACTGTTGTTTTTGAAACTGCTTCAGAAAATTCTCTGAAGCACTAAAATAGGAAAACAAAATGAAGCTAGAATAATGTATGTTAATTCAAAAAGTCTTCAACAATGCTGAAACTTCTTTAAAGAGCTTTTTAAAAAAAATCTATGCCATTAATGTTAATTTCTGGAGACTTTAACACACTGTAAGAAAATGTCGTTTTTTTTCACCTTTTTTTCCCCCCCTAAACTACCGAGAAAGTATTCTGCAGGTATTTTACTGCAGCACCCAATTTTGACACTGGTGCACATGAATTACTCCCCACTAAGAATCTTAATGAACTTCATATTCATGTGTCATATACACAAACCTACTGCTGGTGGATTCATAGATGGGTTACTACTGAAATGGTGTTTTAATTTCATTGTTATTATTGTGATGTAATTAGCCTTTTTTAAAAAGGCAATTGGGGTTAAGTGACTTGCCCAGGGTCACACAGTGTCAAGTGTTTGTTCTGGGATCAGATTTAAACTGAGGTTTTCCTGACTTTAGAGCTGGTACTCTATCCACCATCTAGCCGCCCCTGGTTAGCCTTTTCTTGCACTAGAAGTCTAAATCTGTGAGTCTAGAAATGCAACGATCTTTTAAAATGTATACATTTTGTTTCTGCACTGAGAACCGTTATAATTGCATTGTAAGGAGAAACTACTCATTTGGGACTGTCTTGCATCTTGTAAACTCCAAAGACATCTATGGTGATGTCTGGCCTTACAGCACCTGTAAAAATACACGTGGAGACATGGAGAGGAAATTTCAGAAGAGAACAATGAGCAAAGAGCATGAATATGTCACAGACTGGAAACGTGGACTGGGAAAACTTACATGCCCCAAGAGTCAAAAAATTAGCCATAGTAGAGAACTGTGGCAGCAGTTTGAGGGGCAGAAGGCAGAATACGAGAGCCCTCCAGGACTACTGAAATAGTAACATAAATGAGGACGTCATCTGCCCATAGGGAAACTGAACTGGAAGGGTCCTCCACCCAAGAGACCCCCAACTGTAACATACCTTTGCTCGAAGACTCCTGGGGGTGGGGCTGCCACCTCTCAAAGCTGCTCTCATTGTTTCCTATCACTGAACCTGAATTAGCCGCTCTGTCCCTTTCATTCGATGCTCCTAGCTCCTGCCTTTTATGGCCAAAAGGTCTATGCTAACACTAGATGATGTTTCTAGAACCTTTAAGGATCATGAAGTGTTCTGTGTACACTATTTCATTTGACTGTCATGACCACCCCATACTCCTCCCATAAAGGGTGAAGGGCCCTACCTCATTCCCCAGAGGCAGGATGCTTATTCTGAGCCCTTTGGACTCCAAGCTATGCTGGCCCATCGGTACCTGGGTTTGACGAGAACAATTCAGGAAGTAACTACACAAGACCAAGTTACTGCATGACTATGGTTTATTGCAGGCAGCACTAGGTATCAACCGGCAGTTCCAGCAACAGTGAATGCAGCTCCCTGCAGGTACCGAGCAACACCCGAAGCCTGGCTGGCCCCACTGATAATGACAAGCAGAAGTGTGGCCCAGCAGCCCGACGAACCTCCAAGCACACAGACTCAGGACCCCTCTGCGTCCACACTCACTAATGAGATGGATGGGATGGGCAGACAATATTGGCAAAGGTGAGTTTGTTTGTTCTGAATCTAGTTTCCACAGGGTCCAAGAGTACAGGGAACCTGGATTCTGAGCTCTGTGGCTGGTCTTGCACAGAACAGCTGCAGAAACACACAGATCGGGCCAAGTGGCTCATGCTTTCTTTCCCTGTCTGGTGGTAAAGCAATGACCTAAGAGATTCCTGGGAAACAGGCACTGAAGGGGACCATGAGACATGCAATCTGTGTCTACTACACAGAAGGTAAACAGTCAGTACTGGGATTGGCCAATGACTGTTGTCCTCCATGGGTCACTCCTGGGCATTCCTCTTACATGTCTTACAGCTGTAATAGATCATTAGGGGCATACCTGCTATTCATAGCACTAAGGCTGCCACTGCCATTTAAACAAAACATAAAGACAGGAGAAATTACAGCAACTGGCAAGCCCTATCAGCTCCCAGAGGAACATCCTGGGTGCTGCTACCCCAGTCATCTAAAGGCCTCTGGCAGCCAATCCTGACACCCCTTAGAAGTAGGCTCTGTGGCAGGGGAATAAGAAAACTTCATTTTCAGAAGGATCAGGAAGGTGCTGCTAGGAGAAATGTTACTGGCCCAAAGAGCTATGAACACACACCATGTAACCAAGAGCCACAGGAAGAAAAAAGAACATCACAGAAATTTGGGATTGGTAGCTATGTCTGAGTTGATTTTAGAGATCAGCTCCATCCTCTTCTTTACTTTCTACTACCTTGCAGCACCTTAAGTATCTGTATTCTCTTTTCTAGCATCCCTCCCTTTCATATTCAGTTGGGACACTGCAACCATTTGTTCCTTGACACAAGTTAGAGAAGTGCATAAATATCACATAGCAGTTGGGAGCCTGTTTTTTTAAGAACCAAAACATTTCCTCTGACAAGAAGGTGGCACTCTCACGATGCCACTGAATTACAGACTAATCTTTTATGATTTTTCTGAGCCTAAATTCTTTTAATTTTGCTTTGCTCTGGTAAACTTGAGATCCTGAATTGTCATGCCATTCCATTTATCTTAATACTAGGCAAAGGGTATTAGAGATTTGTGGTTACCTACATTTTGGGTGGGTGAGGAAATGCCCCTTTCAAGTGAGGGAAAACAATTAGTTCTACCAAGAAAAATCCAACCACCATCATCCTTCGGCCACTTCTGCAACTCTTCTCACTGCTACCATGAAGCCCCCAGATGACAGCGAGTATTCAGATGTGCTACTCAGAACAACACTGGAGCTTCGAAATGTCTTCTCTATGTACTGCTATAAGCAGCCTGCTGCTAGAACCCATTTTGAGTGGGGGGTTTGTCACATTAGTAATTTCTAGCACCAACCTGGCTCTCTCTTGTTAGAGAGACTATTGCTAACCTCATAGTAGGTGGGACAGAATGCCTCATTCCAATGTGAAATAGGGGCATAAGCAAATCATAAGATGTAACCTGGCCCAATGCATTCTACTCTACACAGTGGGGTTGATGTTTCAATCATTTTCATAAACAGCAAACTAACTATATGAACTTGGTGAAATATATCTCTAGATCAACATTAGCTAGCACCTAGTCGGTCCAAAGCTAGAGAAGAGCATGTGATTAATTAGTAGATGATGCACCTTTGTCCTTACTCAACTTTTTAATATATCTAAAGTTTTCACCACTTTTCTCCTCTTCTGTTTCCAGCCCCATATCTCTTTCACAGGGTCATAGACTTACAGTTAGAAAGAAACTTCTAGGTTATGTAACCCAAACTCTTCATTATACAAATGAACAAAATGAGGCACAGACTGGTTCTGTGACTTCCCAAGGTCTTACCGGGAATTATAGATTTAGAATTCCAGGTCAAGTCCTCTGAATTCTAATCTCACACTCTAAGATATAACCATTAAGCCAAAAAAAATCAATAGGACATAACAAGAGCTACAGTGAAACAGGAGTATAACACAGGATGAACCAATATAGAGGAGAAGGAAATAGATCAAAATCATTAAATCAACGAGCAAGATCCTCCAACCACTCACTCATTCTCGTTCAGAAACCCATGTTGTGTAAGTTCTCCAAAGGTCCAGGTATCATCCAATCTGCATTCATGTTTCTAGGAAACAAATCATGAAGTTCATCATAATTCACCTTTCAGTCTACGGTACAGGAAGGTTCTTCTAGATAGAAATGTCACCAAAGACGTCTGTCAATTTCCAGAGTTCAATTTCAGTGCAGGTGCCAATGAATTTTCCTAAATGGCATCATTACCCCCAACACTACTTTTTATTATTTTCCAGATATTCCTTGGTATTCTTGACTTTTTGTCTTACAAATGAATTTTGTCTAACTGTAAAAGTATCCCTTAAGTAGCATGGTATGTCACCAACTTTGAAATTTGGCTATTACTTCACTACTATTATAGCGGCACAGTCTATCCAAGAACATTGAATTTCTCTGCAATCATGAGATCTTTTATTTCTGTAAACAGTCTTGTAGTTCAATTTTTATAAGTCCTGTGTGTGTCTTTATAGGTCAATCCCTACTTATTTGATCTTAAATAGAATTCCTCTTCCAATCTCTTCTCCTAACTTTTATTAACATATGAAAAAGCTGATGAGTTCAATGAATTTCTTTTGTATCCAGCTACTTTATTGAAGTTATTGGTTCTTTTGATTATTAATATTTTTTTTCATCCAGCCTCTAAGCTTCTCTATGAAAACCATAATATCAATATCTATTCATAGTGGAGAAAGAAATTTTATAAATGTAATCATTGTGAAAAGGAACACAAATGAAAAAAAATAGGATTAAAGGAAGAGTGGTAATACCAAATCTCAAAGTATATAAAGTAAATATACAAAGAATCCATGTCCATATCAAAGCAGTAATTCTTAAAACAATCTGGTACTGCACAAAACATAGAAAAGCAGATAATGAGACAGAGTAGATAAGTCGGACTTAGGAATAAATGTACATAGTAGAATTTGGTAAACTAAAAAGTACATAAACTACTGGGAAAGGAACTATGTGAAGAGATACAGGGAAAAACACAAAGTAGTATGGTTTAAAACAAAGTTTAGATGGGCATGTTATGTCAAATTTCACAAAAAATTCCCAATGGACATGACCCAAACATAAAAAAGTCACATCATTAAAAAAAAACAAACCCTAACCTAAACTAAAGGAGAATTGAAGCCTACTTATTTTACAACTACGGAAAGAGGGAAATTATTAATCACTCACAGGATAGGTCACAAAAGAAAAAACACAATTATGATTATATAAAATTTAAAAGTTTTTGCATAAATAAAAATGTAGCTAGACTCAAAAGAAAAGATTATGGGTGAAAAGTCTTTGCATTAAATATCTCTAAGAACAGTCTAACATTTAAAACCAAAAGGCAACTGCCATATGTTCGTAGGTTAACACTTGTTCCCAAAAGACAAGTGGTCAGGGCATATGAAAACTTTCAAAAGAAATACAAATGCTCAAGTATTTGAAAAAATGTTCAAGAGACTCTTGTAATCAGACAAACTGAAACGAAAACTACTTAAAAAAACTGCCTTTCATGTATCAAATTAGAAAAGATGGGGCAACGAACTTAGTGTTGGAGAGGTTACAAGACGACAAGCACATTTCGTGGAATTGTCAATGAGCTCGACCCCTCCAGAAAATAATGAGGAGTTAGTAAGAAAACTTACCAAACTGCTAATACTTCTTTAACCCACAGATTCCACTACTGGAGCTATCCTCAAGGAAGACGCTGACGGAACCAATCTGAATAGACATGTTCTGAGCTACATCACATGTGGTAACAAAAGTTGGAAACAAAACATATCCCTAGTGATCAGGGAATGACTGAATAAACTAATATAAAAATATTGCAGAATATTACTGGGCTACAAGGGATGACAAAGATTAACTGGAAGAAACTTGGGAAGATGTGCTTGAAGAGTGGCAGAGCAAGGAAAGCCAAGTCAAAGCATCAACAGACATAAATGCCTCAATGATGTAAATAAAATCAGCACTCAGAGGAAAACAAAAACCCTTGTCAAATACAATAGTCAATGTTAGTAAAACAATATATAAAATATAAGCACAAATCTCTCCTGTTAACGAATGAAAAATTTTTGAGAATGTATGTTGTAAAGGTATTTAGGTATTGATTATCAGGACAGATCTACTGTGAAAAGATGTATCAATAATTTTTAAAGGAGTAAAAACCCCACTCCATTCACCAGGTTTTTCTCTTTACTAAGAATTGGTGTTGAATAAGGTGTTTGCTCTGGAGCAAGCCTCCCTCAAAGTTTCTCTCAATTATGCAGCCTCTGATGTCTGGTTAGACCAGCACTCAAGCGGAAGCACCTCCCACATTCACTACATTCAAAAGGTTTCTCTCCAGTATGAATTTTCTGATGGCGACTAAGCTGGGCACTCTGACGGAAACACATCCCACATTCATGACATTCGTAAGGTTTCTCTCCAGTATGAATTCTCTCATGTTGAATAAGATGCGTCCTCTTGCAAAAGGCCTTTCCACATTCACGACATGCATGAGGTTTCTCTCCTGTGTGAATTCTCTGATGAGCAGCAAGGGATGAGTTGTAGTTGAAAGTTTTCCCACATTCATGACATTCATAAGGTTTCTCTCCAGTATGAATCCTCTGGTGGCAAATAAGCTGTGAGTTCTGGTGGAAAGCCTTTCCACATTCATTACACACATATATCTCTCCCGTATGAACTTTCTGATGTCGAGTGAGTTCTGTGCTCTGGCGGAAGGCCTTGCCACATTCATTACATTCATAAGGTTTCTCTCCAGTATGTATTCTCTGATGGGCAGCAAGAGATGCACTGTGGTTGAAGGCCCTTCCACATTCGTTACACTCATAAGGTTTCTCCCCAGTATGAATTCTCTGATGGGAAGCAAGGGATGAGCTGTGATTGAAGGCCCTTCCACATTCACTACATTCATAAGGTTTCTCTCCAGTATGAATTCTTTGATGGCGAGTAAGATGGGCGCTCTGTCGAAAAGTCTTCCCACATTCAGTGCATTCATAAGGTTTCTCTCCAGTATGAATTCTCCAATGTTGAGTAAGCTGTGTCCTCTTGTAGAAGGCCTTTCCACATTCATCACATTCGTAATGTTTCTCTTTAGTATGAATTTTCTGATGTTGAGTAAGCTGAGTTCTCCATTGGAAGGCTTTCCCACATTCAAAAGGTTTCTTCTCAGTATTTAGACTATGATAGTCAATAAGGTCTGAATTATAACTGAAGGATTTCCCACAGTCGTTATACTTAGAAAATATCATTTTTGAGCTTGTTCTGCTGTATTTTTTTTAACTGTCTAAATAGTCTAGAGTTCTTTCTGTGTATCACATTTGTAGAGACTGTCTCTAAAAGACACTTTGTGCTATAGACAAAGGACTGGCCCTACACCGAAGATTCTACTTTATTTCTTATCTTCAAATAGGTTTCCTTTGGTTGACTTCCAATTTGGAGACACAGGGAAGTCTCACTCTTTCCCAGGATGGTTCTTCCAGAGAAACGCCAAATTTGAAATGGACTCCTTGGTTTCCGGTTTAGTCTCCAAATCTGAAAGAAAGAAAAAAGTCAATGTCCACTGTTCTCTAGTTGTACATGGAGCCTTGTCCTATCTCATGTATCAAGAAAAATAACTCAAAACTTTAAAGGGCAGTAGAAATAACAATACAATCTCATGTTTTACAGGGCTGTTGTGAGAAAACTACTTCTCAAACCTTAAAGCACTATACAAATGTAAATTAGTAGTATACAGCGTATTAAATGACTCAGATTGAAACAATTTATGAGGTAACATGCTATCTTAAATTGAGGAAACTGAGGTTCAGGGTGCTTTAGCAATTTTAGCAAAACGTATGCGCCCAAAGTCACACCATTAATAAGTATAAAATATTGGACACGAACTAAATGGAACTTCTGACTTTAAGTCCAGTATTCTTTCCACTTAACGAAGGAAATAGGCTTTTTTTTTCCTATGCAGTTCTAAAGAGCTTATCTTGAAAAATAGATAGAAGTTCCAGGAGGGCTGTTTTCACCTCATTATCAAGGAAGGCTACAATCAGAGCTGTCTAAAATCAGACAGGCAGACGCATAAAACGTTAGACCTTATAAAAGATCATCTACTACAAAACCCTCCTTTTGAAGATGAAGAAAACAAAGCTCATAACTATACTTTTACTTTTGAGTCTCTCCTCTCTTCAGCTGATCCCACAATCAACCTCTCCCTCTACTACTCTTCCCTCTCCCCTGATCTACTGGTTTAATCCCTGATACTTACAACCCTACCTAGGTCTCCCTTCTGGCTGTAAAACACTCTCAGTTGACCACACTATTACCTCCAGCTATAATCACCTCTTTCTTCCTTTTCAATCAAACTTAGGAAAAGCTGCCTATTCTCGCTGCTTCCACATCCTTTCCTCTTTACTTATTTCTCAACTCTTGACACCTCTACATATATATGTTATCTCATCTCAACTGGGCCCTCACTGAAGCAAGACAAACATTCTACTATTTCACACATGAATCACTATCCCACTTTCACCAGTGGATGTTTGAAGCATTCACAACTCTCCTTCAGGTCACTCCATGGCAACCCCTCACACACTCTCTTAACTGAATAATTCACCTCATACTTCAATGAAAAAAATTCAGTTCATTCACCAAGAGCTCACTCTTCTCATTTCACATCATTCAGACATCTTTCTCCACAATCTCCTCTTGCCCTAAATCATTGAATGGGTGTTGCCTCAGACAAACTGAGACCTGGGAAAGACTTTAGCTTAGAAAGACCAATGTCTCCTACTGCTACTGGGGCCATCTCCAGTCCTCCTGATCTATATCTTACCACTGGACCCAGATCTGGAGGAGAGAGAGAGAGAGGCTGTTGATTTTGCACAGTCCTGACTACTTAAATCCAATTCACTTGCAAGTCATGACATCACCTTCTCAATGTTATGGTCCTCTTCAACAATGAAGGATAAACAACAACAGATGAAGGTAGCCCTTCTTCTTGCCAAGGCAACCCCTCCCCTCCCAATGCACCTGTGATCAACTCTTTTCAACTTCTCTAACACAAGAGCTTCCATTATCATCCCCATTATTTCTCTTATCTCCACTCTGTCCCCACACATTAGATCTTTCTCTATCACTTACAAACAAGTCCACGTCTCCACCTTTAAAAAGTCTGCATTTGACCCAACTATCCTCAATAGCTATCATAGTGCATCTATATACCATATCATACAATCATACTAGATCTCTCCTTCTGAACTCCTTGATAAAGATGTCTGTCCCTGAGGTCTCCATTTCTTCTTTCACTCCATTCCAATACCTCTGACCTCATAATTCAACTGAAACTGCCCTGTCAAAAATAATCAATGATTTCTATGCCAAAACCAATAGACTTTTCTCAAACCTTATCTTCCTTGACTTTTCTGAAGACTATCAAATTGTTGGTCACTGTGTGCTCTGAGATATTCTTCTTCTAATTCTCTTATCTTCACAATTATTCCTTCTGAATCTCCTTTGTGGGTCTTCATCCACGTCAGGCCCACTAGTATCCTCTAAGGCTCTTCTCCTGGGTCTCCTCTCTTTTTCTCTACACTGTATCATTTGAAAATTTCATCAGCTCCCACGAGTTGAGTTATTATCTCCATGCAGATGGTTCTGAGATCTGTAAAGCCACCGTTGGTGTCTCCTCTAAGCCACACTCACACACCTCCAACTGCTTATTCCACATCTCACCTGGCTGTCCCACAGGCATTTCAAAGTCAATGTGCCTGAAACAGAAAATTCTCTTCCTATCCCCCCCCAAAACCTACCAGTTAGTTTCCAAACTTTCCTATTGCTATTGAGGTTGTCACTATCCTCCCAGCCACCCAGGCACAGAACCTGTGTCATCCTGGACCCTTTACTTACATTTACCCCACATATCTCATGGGTTAACAAATCCTGTCACTTCTATCTTTGTAACATCTCTTACATTCATCCCCTTCTTTCCATTCATGACTGCAACCCCTGGTTCAGGCCCTCATCACCTCTTAGCAAGACTACTGCAATAGCCTTCAACAGCCTTCTAACTGGTCTCCTGAACTCTCATCACTCCCCAATCTCCACTCTAATCCATGCTCTACTCAGACGCTAAGGTGATTTTTCTAAACCTTAGGCCTAAACCAAGTCACTCCCTTGCTCAAAGAACTCTAGTGGTTGTTCCTATTATCTCTACTAATATAAAAGTCCTGTTTGGCATTTAAAGCTTTTCATAATCAAGCACTTTTCCAGTCTTCTAAAACCATCTCTTAATTACCCCCCTCCCCTGCCCCACCGCCACCTCCCAACAATCCTACTGGCCCACTTGCATTTTCCCTTTTTTTTTTGAGGTAACTGGGGTTAAGTGACTTCCCCAGGGTCACACAGCTAGTAAGTGTCAAGTGTTAGAGGCCAGACTTGAACTCAGGTCCTCCTGATTCCAGGGCTGGTGCTCTAACCACTACGCCACCTAGCTGTCCCAGAACGTTACTTTCAAAACTATCCTGTTTGTCTTTGTTGCATCTGAACATTCCCAATTGCATATTTTAAAACATGCTTAAATGACCCTCTCTCTCTCTCTCTTTTTTGGGGGGGAGCACACACATTATTGTCAGCATCATCCCCCACCCCTTCCTCACCAAATCCATAAAACCAAAACCAAACAATCATACACTTTTAACAAATAAGCTCTGCAAATAAAACAAATCCCATATTTGCCACGTCGAACAATGCACGTCACATTTAGCACCTTGGGTCATTCCTCTCTCAGGGGTGGGTAGCATGCGTCATCCTTGGTCATCTGAAGCAGGGTAGTCGCTGCACTGATCAGAGTTCTAAAGTCCTCCCCAAGCCAATTTTCTTTATAGTGTTGTTCCTACATAAAACGCTCTCCTGGTTCTGCTCATTTCACTCTGCACCAGTTCATGCAAGTCTTCCCAAATTTCTTTGAAACCTCCTTTTTGTCAATTTTTTACAGCAGAACTATATGTCACAACACTCAAACTATTATTTGCTCAACCATTCCAACTGTCCTGTCCCTCTCCTCTTTTAATTACAGTTCTTCACCAAAATAAAAAAAGCAGCTACAAGGACTTTTTGTACACATGGATCTTTTTCTCTCATCTCTCGAGGTATGTATAGGCCTAGTTAGCAGCATAACTGAGCCAAAGGGCATGAAGTTTATTGACTTTTTGATCATGATGCCTAATGGCTTTCCAGGGCTGAACCAATTCATGGCTCTGACATGTACCAATGTGTGGTACATTGTCTCACTGTTGTCATTTTCTTTGATGAAACTTTCTGTTTCTCTGATATGTTCTTTGACCCACAGATTTTTTAGGATTAGGTTATTTAGTCTCCAATTCATTTTTAATCCTTTCTTCAAAGGCTATTATTTCTATTTTCTGCACCTGTGAAGTTTTTCTGCCTTACAATACATGGTAAGTCAATTTCTGTAAATATGATAGGTGCAGCTGAGAAATGTTTACTCCTTTCTGTTTCCAGAGGCCTAGTATCTATGATTTGATTCAGATCCTTGGGCTAGGCTGACAAAGAAATACCTTTTTTTTTTCCTAAAGCCACTTATAAATCATTCTCTTAATAGACTAGACTCCAGAATACATCACTACAGATCAAGTTCACTGGACAACATTTTGCAGACTCCACCTTGTTCTTTTTCTGCAATTTGGGCTCCTTTCTTTTCTCTAGTCCTCACCACACTTCTGCTCTATTATACAGTATCTTTTAAAGAAAATCCAGTGACTCAATAGTTACATCTGCCAGTTTTTTCAGAGCACCAGGGCAATGCTTTCAAAGTAGAAATGACTGGAATTCTGGAAGGAAGTCAGCACTGCCTCTTAGAGTTTGTGAGAGAGAAGTCAAGGAAATCCAGGCATTCTGTGACATACACCCTGGATTTGGGGAAAGTAGATTTCAAAGAGCTCAGAAGAAAGACGGGGAGGAAGAGGTCAGCTTAGGGAGCAGAGCAGACGCTCAAGAACAAAGGGTGGTTCTCCTTGGCCATGGCATCAAACTTGGGAGGAGTGGCATAGGAGAATGTTAGCTATAAAGCATGTTACCCATTTCTCCACTGTTCGGCTACTGGCAGAGCACAAGCTAATACACAGACAGAGCCTCGGTGCCCATGCTATCACTCTGATGCCTCTGTGCCAGGCGGGCCATGATACAGCTCCATGGCAAACACAACTTCTGCTTTTTCCATTCCCTTTGATCATTAACCAAAGCCTATCCTCTTTCTTGCCTCCCAAATGGGAACTGGCATGCATGAGCATATATATCCATCCCTACTACACTAACTTTTTTGGGGGGGAGTGAGGCAATCAGGGTTAAGTGACTTGCCCAGGGTAACACAGCTAATGTCAAATGTCTGAGGATTAAAACTCAAGCCCTCCTGATTCCGAGGCCGGAGCTCTATCCTCTGCGCCATCCAGCTGCCCCCTTTTTTTTTTTTTTACTGTTTTTGGTGAGGCAATTAGGGTTAAGTGACCTGCCCAGGGTCATACAAC